TTTTATTTCTGTTAATTGTAATTCGAAGATTTTTCTGTTCGAGTAAATATCTATTTGGTTAATGTTCTTTCCGATCAATTGTTTTCGGGTAATTCTCCTTCGGTGAATTGTTTTCGGGCAATTTTATTAAATCCGTTATATTGCCCATGCAGTAAAAATACAGGCGAAGTATTTATACCCAACCAGCTGTTACTGGTAATTCGCGAAATTTATATAACAGTAACCACTATAGCTAATTTTTTCAACATCACATTCTAAACAAAACTCAGGACCAAAACCTATAATATTACGAAAATATCAAGATCTACAACCCCTTTGCACTGGTGATAAACCTGTCATTCAACTCAATTAACTAAATAATTATTAAAAATATATTAGTTAAAATACGCATTTTTGTATAATAAACAATATTATTAAAATAATCTAGACAAGAGTATTTTAACTTATTTTGTCTTTGCTTCTAGAATGAATATTGTCTTTGTTTTCAGTTGATTTAATCTAACGCGAATAAAAGTATTTAAAAATATTTGTTTCTGATTTTTTGGTGATTTCTAGATATTTTCTTGTGGGTATGTATGTACTGTATTTTCTTGTATGTAATCCATAATGTAAATATTGTATTTTTTTTTCTTATTAGGAACACTTTACCATCATTTTTAAATTTATTTTACATGGGCGTATGTATGCTATTCGTTCGGAAATAAATTTATTATTATTATAACAAAAAGACCTATCTCTATCAAACAACTAAAAATAAATTATTTATTAGAATTTACGCTCAATTTATCTTCAGAACGTGTCCTCAAGGTTTCCGTTTAAGTGTTAATACAAAAACACTATTAAAAAATTAAAGACTTTACAGTTATTGGCCAAATAAAGCAAATTTTCTTAAAATTGCTCTCCTGAAAAGTAGCAAAAATCGAGATACGCCTTTTCGTCATAAAGCCGACGATATGAACCTGCGGCTCAAAAAAGTTTAAATCCTGTTAATTATACAGAAAGATTTAAACAATATACAAAAATTTTCATAATTTTTTACCAACAAAGTCGTAACAATAGATGTGCATACATAATAAATAATGCACTATTATTAAGCACATAGTCCTAAATAGATAACGGTTTTATTAATATTTTCTAAGAAAACAAAAACTATGTTAAGATTCTAATTTTAGATTCTCTTGCTGCTGGCTATAAATCATGTCATTAATTAAACATGTAAACATTGAATTTTACTGTAGGTATGTATATGTATCCTAAAGAACTACAAGCAATAAAGTAGGTCTTAAAATTAATTTAACAAAAACTAAAGTTATGTACCTAAAACGAACTAATAGACAGAAAAGACATTCTAACAAATAACACAACACTGAAAATAATAGAAGAATACATATATTTGGAACAACTACTACCAACACAGGATCTCTACTACCAGAAATCAACAGAAGAATTAAGTTAGCATGGAGTCATTATGGAAGAAACTCAATCATATTCACTTTTTTGCCACTTCATCTAAAGAAGAAAACATTCGACTAATGTGTATTACCATCATGAACCATGCATGCGAAACCTGGATACTTAAAACGAACATTATAAGATAATTACAGGTCGCACAACGATCAATGGAAAGAAATATGCTGGGAATACCCAATTAAGACCGTAAAAGAATAGAGTGGATACGACAAAAGATCCAGATAATTGATGTCATCAATAGAATGAAATCCCTCAAGTGGCAATGGGCAGGACACCTGGACACCACAGACAAGAGATGGACCACAAAACTTACAGCATTGTATCCACGAGGAATTAAGAGACCTAAAAGAAGACCAAACATGAGATGGGACCGTGATATTAGGAAATTAGCAGGGATAACTTGGGCCCGCATAGAAAACAATAGACAACAATGGGCCCAATTACAAAAAGAGCATCTAAATATGTGAGAGAGGCTACACCATAATTGGAAATAGATGAATAAGCTGAAAATGATGATGATAATGATGTATATGTATTGTAAGTTTTTAAAAATAATGAAACATTGGTTTTGGAGCTACGTTTACTTATGACTAAAAATCAACTACAATCAATTCTGTGTATTTGTAGTAATTCATTATCTAATTCTGAATTAAATTTAAAAATATACTTGCTATGTCATACTGGATGTTAACATTAATTCAGTGGTGACTCAGTTTTATTACTAATGCCATTGGTATAATAATTGCATAAAGCTAACATACTAAATATGGCAAAAATTGACAAATCATTTGCTATTGGAATATCTGAATTAAATGTCGTAAAAACGGGTTGCTATGTCATACTGTCGCGTTAACACTCTCTGTCGGTAAATATAGCCCGAGTCAAACGATTAATCGTACACTTGCCAAGTATACTTGGCCAGCCTGGGCCAGCCTTGTTTACACTTGCCGAGGCGCAAAAAAACGACAAATAATGTTACTGTTATAGCGTATGTCCGATTTATATCCGGATCGTAGTGTTTTTCGAGTTAATTGTGGATAATTTAAAACGTTAAAACAATAATAGATTATGTAATATCAAATTTACATTAATAACTTCAATATTGGCGGCATACCTAAATCGTTTCACAGCAATAAATGGAGTGGACAAATGAAGACTACACGGGAAAAACCAGATATGTCACATTTTCATAGAAATTAAGATACAACTTTATAGACAAATGTCACGAAAAAAGAAAGCAATAATACGCTTAGTCACAGAAATATTACAGCTTGGTTATTTTGCCGTACAAAAGAAAAACCAGAGTAGTCCACGCGTAAATGACAAAAACCAGAGATGTACTTACGCATGGGCGACAAGCATGCATCTTGCAATCAGTATTATATTATTAAAACAAGGGATATTACAGAAAATAAACGTCGAAAATCAAAAATACAAACAAATTTATTCCGCTCGAAACTTGCCGAAGCTTACAATAAACACTTGTGTCTAGCCCTAGCAGGCAACTATTAAGCCCGACCAATCACGTTAGAGTTTTTGACAAACACAAATGAATTAACACCCTCCAAATAATAACGCTAACCAACCTGATTGGTCAAGCTTAATAGTTGACTGCTAGGGCTAGACACTTCTACAATAAACAACAATAATCTCGACTGACCGAAAAACATAGATGAATCAACAAATTTCTCAAAAACATCATCTGACACGATCCATAGAAAAATATTATCCTTATGTAACAATCTTACAGGTATACACATACGTAATTAATTTATGTACGTATATGGAATATTTGTTTCGTTATCAATATGGTTATAAATTTTTGTATTGTAATAAAAACCTACTTAAATATAAATTTTCAACAAAAAAAATAATAGTTTAGATTTAGGTTTTATACAACCTTTAATTAATTGAACATCTCTGGGTTTCCCCTGTTTTGTTTTGCATTTTGACTATTTTTTTTAGATTATCTATTTAGATTTTGATTTCAATATTTCAGATGGCGATAATTCACAAAATTAATAATTCAGAATTGGTAGTAATATAAATATTTTTCTAATTATTCAACCGAAAATAACATATTTCTTTAAAAACACTAAATTGCATTTTTCTCGGTTCCACTTAAAACGGACAAAACTGGGTTTTCCGTGTAGTCTTCAAATGATGTTGTTTTGGAATTTATGGATTTATACGAAAATGAGCCCTTCATATGGATGGCCAAACATAACGAACATAGAAATCGTATTGCAGTGTACAGCAAAAGAACTTAAAAAGAAAAAAGAATCCCTAGCAACGACAATTTCGGGACGACTAGTATCCATCGATGCGACTATACTGTTTGCTTGCCAAGGATTGTAGGGGTACTTGGCAAATACGCAAATATTGGCGTACTTGCCAAGTACACTTGCCAATGTAGTACAAAGTGGGGACTGGTGGGGATACTTGCCAAGTACGCAAATATTGGCGTACTTGTCAAGTACGCCAGTCGTGAGAATCCGCCTTAACATACTAAATATGGCACAAATTCTCCAATCTTTGCTTTTTTATTTCTACCAAATGCATTTTATATAGGTATCTATATACAGTGTACGTCAAAAAGTTTTCAACAAACGTTGTAATAAATGCTAAGGAGTCTCAAATACTACCGTATGATCGAACAAAACAACGTCCAGTTGGCTTGGAAATGAACATCAATGACATTTCCCATATAAAATGACAGCGATCTTGTATCACCGCATTAGAAACGGAATCCACACCATTTTTTGACAATTTTGTTTGACGGATCACTTGACACATTTGAATAACTTGTTTTTTTGCGAATTTGTTGGGCCTTTCTGAGTTTATTTTTGTATTTTATAACTGTGTTACGTATTAATGTTTCTTGTTTTTAATTCTGAATGCAACTTTTCCCACCAAAAAAGTTAAATTCGTTTGCACTCACCCTTAATTTTTTTTATAATCTTTGGGACCTAATCTAATTCTAGCTTTGGTAATAATTATTAGATACACAATAGAAGTAGTTCTGCGGTTAATCCATTTTCTTCTTTACATTTATTTTTTATGCAGTAAACTTTCTGTCAATTCCATAGCCAAAATTTTAACAGTTTGAAGTACCTACAGAAGTACAGCCAAAACGCAATGTCGCCATTTTAATTCAACTAGCAGAAGTTTTTTGATATCCAATGTGTAAACACGGAATATTCTTTCAAGTCATTTGACTCTTAAAATGCTCCTTAACTCATTCACCAGGTTAACGTGTGTGTGTTTTTTTTATTTGCCACATGACAGTTGTCACATGTGTCAAAATTATGTATTTACATTAACCCAATAATAAAAGGATCCATCTCTTGAGGATTTGTATCATCTAAACATTGTATCATTGTACTTATGCAATTGCTTTTTAAAAATCGCGCTCAAATGCTACAGCGTCAGGTCATAGCCACAGAACTCCCGTTACAATCATTATCTCCCCCCTCTCCCTCCCCCTCCCTCAAAACATCATCCCATAACCTTAAATTAAGATGTCTTACCTGTCTTTTGAATGCATCGGGCATGGTGAACGTACTCGAGATCCAACAGTAAGTGTTGACTATATGGGTAGGCAGACCATCCACGATACACTGGATGGGATTACCCACGAACTGATTTGCAGTAATAATTAGACTGCAAGCCATCAGAAGAGCTGTGGTGAAGAGATTGTGCATCCTGAACACTGCACAATCAGTTACAATCTCTTGGTACTTGAGATAGTGTGCTAAACTGCCTAGTAACCTGTACATGATGAAGCTTGTATTGTTGGATGAGCCTTAAGGAATGTAACGAGGGTTGTAATGGATGAAAACAAGGTTTGAAAAATTTAAAAGTCAGTCGTTGTGTTTCAAAGGCTTGAAATTTGTTTTAGGGTTGTCACAGATCAATACCAAGCTTGGAATAATCAAAAAGACTGTGCGAAATTACTTTAACAGTTAGTATAAAAGTTTGAGTACTGAAATTAACAGTTTTAACGGATGAAGAACGTCCTTCAATTAATCAAATATCAAAGTCGACTCTAGGAAGGCTTGCAGATTCACTCTAACAGATCTAACAACGATATGAGCACTGATTTGACACAAAGTAAACTTCAATCCATCAAAATAACACTAATAATAGACGAAAACAATTCTTTTAACACTTAAAACTCCAGTGATAACGTTCTCAAGTCTTGCAGAAGCACTTTAACAGATAATGGAACGGTTTGAGCACTATCTGAGCGGGATTTTAACGTCAATTCACCCATAATCGTGTGCGAACCATGTTGTTTTCGATGTTTTTCAAACGGAGAACGTAAATAATCGTCCGCTTTGAGAGCGGTGGCTACTGAGTGACGGCAGGCAAGCTGGGCTTTCGTGTGCCCCTTCCTCTGCCCCCGCCTGCCGACGCCAGTGGCTTAGCGGTTGCGTTCCTACGTCTGCGTTTTACGGGGGAACGCGTGCAGACGCGGCTGAATGTCGCTGGAGGCTTCGGCTGCGACGTTGCCAGGTTTAAGGTCACTAAATTCCTTATAGTGCAATCGAATTTTTTTTGTAGCTTTATGTGCTGATTTAGAATGTATAATATCTTTATTTTCGAATGAGTATTCTGATCTACAGACGAATATTTGTAAATACTAGTGAATAAAAAGACTAAGAAAGAAAACGAAATTAGCGCGACTACGAGGGTACTTTACTATGGAAAGACAAAATATTAAGACACAACTTTTAATCGGCATTAAACGGCCTACCTATACAATTTTGTTAATAAAATAAAAAAAGTCAGTGGCGCACATGTTTTTTTAAATAGTCAAGTGAAAACCCATATGTACGTCCCTGGTAAATATTTCGATCCTTTTTTAGCACTAAAATATGTACCACATATAGTAACTTTTACCCTCAAAATTCTATTTGAATCGCTAGAATCACTTTGAAGGAAACTATAATTATTAATATGGGAGACTGGTCTTGGTTTTGCGGTCTTGGTCTGGTAAAAAAAGCAAGACTAAGACTAAGACCAGGACTATCGTTTTATCTGCAAGACCAACCGTGACAACCAAAGACCGACAGTGCAAGACCAATGTAGTACTCTTGTGGTCTTGCTTTTTTTAAGGGTTTTATTTACATTTCATTTTTCATAGATAAATTAAAAATAAATAAAGAAAATTTTATTTATTATATCCTCAACCCTATAATTTTTTAAATAAAAATATAAAAAAAAGTTTTTTCGGAAACTATTACCAGCGAATATGTAATTTTTATGGTAGCCAATTTTATATCAAATGTCCGTCACATATTGGTATAAAGTTAAGTATAATATATTTTTTGTCGAAACATACCAAATATTACCGTATTAGTTAAGTCTGTCATGTTTTTTGAATCACTAAAATAAATAGGGGAGAGTGGGGCAAGTGAGTCACAGGGGGCAAGTCCGTCTTGGCATCATTACCGACAACAATCAGTGCAGTTTACGTATCTATCAACAAGTGGATAGTGTTAATGAAAAATATTTTTCGTATTCCTTATCATGTGATGTCATATTAACAGCGCCTCCAGATGGAGCGGACCGTCCGTCGGGTTTTTTTCAAGATAGCCGTCGGACGAACTCCGTCGGACGGAGCATACGCACCCATGTGAAGTTGTTCACATAAACTCATGGTACTTGCTCGAAATCGCAGACGGTCCGCTCCATCTGAAAGCGCTGTTAAGGCGAATTACCTAGATTTTTTTCATAAATTAAGGACAATATCTGGACATTTCGTCAAACTCATAACGTAACCTACTATCTCTGTAATAGTACAATTTTGCCAAATGTACAGGGTGGGTCAAATTCGACGCTTTTAAATGGAAACACCCTTTTCTATAGGAGATAGACAAAAACTAATATCGGTGTCTGGAGCTCAATTTTTGTCAAAAACATGATGGTGAAAACCGCATATCGATATCTGTTACCGTTTCGGAGTTACGGGGTGTTTTTCAAAAATATGCATTTTTAACAAGTCGCTGTAACTTTGTTGCTATGGAAAATTTTGTATTTTTATGAAAGCATTTCCAAAGCACCTTTTTACGTAGAATTTAATGGTTTAAGTATAATTTTTTTAAAATTAATAATTTAAGAATTATCAACAGAAAATTTGATTTTTTATATGGGACACCCTGTATATTTTTAATTTATTGAAAAGAATTTTAAATTACCTTTCCAAAAATATAGCACACTTGATATTTTGCTCGATTCCTCTTCGAGATATAGAGTATATAAAAATTCGCCCGCTTTAAATAAGTAGGCTTTGAACGACACCGGCTGTAATGTAAAAAAATTCTAGCTGTGAGCATCAGTTAAAACGAAAATAATATTTGCTATGAGAGATGCAGAATTTTATAACAATTTAAAATATATTTAACCAACATCAACACATTTAAATTATATCTAATAACAATAAAAATAAATAGCAAACCAAGACATGAGATTTTGCTACACTGCTTTGTGTTCAACATATCGACCGTCTTCTGTTATGGACAGACGGGGCAGTTTTTGAACATTTCTCGCGGAATTCATTAACTCAGTAGGGTTGAAAGATACCTTCTCATAACTGCTAAGTATTTCTAATTTTTGTCTAGATTATACGGAAGAATAAGGAACCTTTGTTCTTCCGCAAATATATCCATAGGATTAGATCCATAAGCACTAAGTCAGGCGGCCTCGACGGCCAACGGCTGGGATCTTGGTTAGGTATTCAGTTATTCTTGAAATTGGCTGCAAAAATTTGCTGATAACTTCAGCGTTCAGAGGCGGTGCGTCGTCTTGCTGGAAAAATATGTTTTCGAGTTCAATTAAGGGCTTATCATCAATAAGGGGTCCAAAGCCTACTAGTTAAAACTGGCGAACTTTTAAAAATTCTGTATTTTGAAGGGGATTATAAGAAAATATCAAGTGTGCTATATTTTTGGAAAGGTAATTTTAAATTCTTTTCTGTTAATTAAAAATATAGAGGGTGTCCCAAATAAAAAATAAATTTTTCTGTTGATAATTCTTAAATTATTAATTTTAAAAAAATTATACTTAAACCATTAAATTCTACGTAAAAAGGTGCTTTAGAAATGTTTTCATAGAAATACAAAATTTTCCATAGCAAAAAAGTTACAGCGATTTGTTAAAAATGCACATTTTTGAAAAACACCCCGTAACTCCGAAACGGTAACAGATATTGATGTGCGGTTTTCACCATCATATTTGTTGTTTCCATTTAAAAGCGTCGAATTTGACCCACCCTGTACCTGTTTCGTTTTAAATGAAATATTCTTCTAAAAATAAAACGTTAAGGTGCCGCTCTTGCCCCACTCTCCCCTAAATATTATATGAAAAATTACTTATTGGTTTAAAATTTATGTTATAATTTATTGTAAAAGGTATTTTCACGACTTTTGCAAAAAAACAATTAAAAAAGTGTAAGTGTAATATACAGGGTGGTTCGAATTGTAAACGAAAAATCTCGGCAACTTATTCTGCAGGTAAAAATAAGTAAAAAGTTCGTATAACTGTATGTTTGAAAATGCTCCGTTTCAGAGATACAGGGTGGAGAAGTTTCATTTTTAAATAATTTTTTTCAAATATCTTATGAACTAACGTCGATATTTAGATGAAAATTTGTATCTGCATATTTTTTATATCAGAAATTTGATTTTGAACTTAGTAAGACTTCCACTTGTAGGGGGCGCCACCTACATGTTTTTAACTGTTTTGAGGAGTAATAACTATTCGTCCGTACTTGTACTACTAAAGTTTCATTTGTATTAAATTACTTAAAATACAATTTATTTAAAGATTTTCTATATATAGAAAGTGCCTTTAGTAAAAATTAATTAATAACTGCAAGACTTGCAACAAGACTAAGACCAAACGAATCTTGGTTTCGATCTTGCATTTGCTCATTACTAATTTATAATAAATAAAAAAAAACACGACGTACCCCGTAGCTACGAAACAAAGCAGAATCGTACCTATGTTTATATAAAAAATAAATCTTATTTTTACGTTAGGAATCTGCCCGGAAGAGATAGCACATGTTTTTTGAAACAGCCTGTATATCTTCCAAAAATTTGTTAAGTTTGGCACCGTTGCTAATGTAAGATTGGGGTCGCGTGAAATCCATCACCTGAATCTCGATTATCCTCGTTTTTATTTTAATCGACGTTTATCCCACGAATTTTTAGTGATTTCAACGATAGGTAGCAAAAGAAAACGATTTACTTTTGTAGAAAATCGCTCTTGGTTCTCTATTTTTTGTCTTGATTTGGTTTTATTACACCATTTTATGTAATAGTCTTAGAAATTTTAAATGAGTAAATATGAAGCAATTTATTTCTTATTCTGCAAATCATTCTATATAAGTAGAATTCTTTCTACTAAGTATGATCATTCATACCTTTAAGATTCGTGTCTTTTGATATTTCAAAACTGGGCTATAGTTTGTTAGCTTAGCTTTATACAGGGTGTTCAAAAACGCACTACTAAATTTCAAGGGGTGATTTCTTATGAAATACTATATGAAAAAAGTTCCTATTAAACATAGACCCGAAAATGCATAATTTTCGGGTAACTATGTACTGTGTAATTTTTCCAATAACTCTAATCTTAAATACCATTTTTTTTAATTTGCTCTAAGTGTCATTGAACATCAATATTATAAATTGTAATTTGTTATCAAATATTTTAAAGCTTCATACAGAACTTAGAAATTAGAGGATAAATTAGCAGTTTAATTAACGTAGAAGTTTGTTCTTCTAATTTCAATGTAGGCATTTAGAACGTCAAAATTAGTGATGGTATTAATTTTCAAGTACTAGAAAAAGTTAACAAAACTTTAACTTTTGTCACTAATTATGCTTCAAAATTTTCGAGGCATGTCATTTTGGCTTTTGAAGTCCCGTCCAGAGAAATTGCAGTAAGAAATGAAAAGTTTATTGTTTTATTTTAGTCAATTAATAAAATAATCCATAGAAAAACCTAATATACCGATCAGGTTACAATTTCAAAAAGATACAAATGCAAAAATACAAAGAAAAAAAAAGTTATATTTTTAGTTGCTTAATCTAATAAAACATAAAAATTGCCGAAAAAGTCAGTGGGGTATATTTTTTCACAATTATTTTTGATAAGGTGTCGATAAGTTAATAATTTTAATTTATTTCAGCCTTAATTAGGCTATTAATATTAGTAAAAATAAATAAATAACACTAACAAATTTCAAGAAAGTCAGCTATAAAATAAATAGATTATTTTAAATGTTTAACCTCCTGTAACAGCCCATTTCCGGAACCGTATTTCTAGAAACATATTTTTTCTCCACATGGGCGCCGGAAGAATGAAATTTAGGGGGGGGCAAGGTAAAAATGAATAAAAAATTGACATTTTTGGT